GAGTGAGTGAGAGAAACGTTAGAGGGGAGACACAGAACGTGACACCTGTCAACACGAAAATACACGATTGCACAATCACAGACAGCGCAAGCACACCACCAAACAGCAACTGCAGCACAGAGAACAACAACGGCGACAGCACTCACAAAGTCGCATGCCAGGTACGCGGGCGCCGCTGATGCCGTTGGAGCTGTTGTTGATGTGCATTCAGCAAGGTTCAGTGAACACACATCACACAAAGACGCATAAGAGTGTATGCAAGCGAGAACAAAATGCATGCGTGGCGCGGTTGCATGTGCTGAAGACGGACAACCACAGTGAACGACCAGATACATAGCCGTTCAGTTAAAATGGACAAAGCGCGTGCAAGACGACCGGCCACGCACCGATCCAGTACCAGCCATCTGCTGGGTTGGCCGTGTGCACGAGGATGTCTGCGCAGGTGCGGGCTGGGTTGGAAGCACTCGCACCGCGCGGTGTTCGCGTAAAGTCGAGTTTGAACCGGGTCGCACCAAAGCCAAACCCTGCAGCACCGAAAGGGAGTGCACCAGCGAGTGATGGTCAGGCGAGATGGAAAAGAAGAGTATGGTAAGAAGGGACAATGGCAGGATAGAACGAACAACAACCACGTGCAGGCGTGCATTCGCACACGCACACCCACACACATGCACACACACGCACACACACACACACACACACACATGCACACACACATGCACACACAAGCACACGCACACCACACGCACGCACATGCACACATACACATGTGTGTGGGTGCTGACCAATGAGTTCTGATGCGGAGCCGTGATCAAACAAGGCAATGTCCTGAATTGGCAGTGCGAGCGCGTTGGTGGTGGCAAACACAAACGACGCATGTGCTGCTGTGTGTATGTCGTTTGTCGCGCATCCTGTCATCACCAAGCACACACACATCCAAACAAACGTGAGCAAACGGGCTGTGTGGAGCCGTGCGCAATCGTATACAAGTGTGTGTATGTGTGTGTATGTGGGTGTATTTGTGTGTATGTGTATGTATGTGTGTGTGTGTGGCAAGTTGAGTCATGACCCACATCAACCACGAATTGCAGTGTTATCCCGACCATCGTGCGTGATGATGGGCTCCAACACGACGCTCTGCGACACGAATCGGCTTGGATGCGTCCAGTAGACACCCGTGTTGTCCCTGTCAATGCGTGAAAGCACGCGCAAAACCAAGTGGAGTTGTATTGAGTGTGACGCAGATGTTGGGCCATGTGCAGGGTACACAACCATAAGGTCTGCTTTCACAGAACAGTGTTCAGAACAGTCAGCGAGCACACTCCCACCACGCAAAGCATGCAGACGTAAGCGTTCGAGCCACAAGCTCAGGCGCGGTTGTACAAATGCTCAACTCACGTCTTCGAGCGAAAGATTGCGCCTGACGGGTACACGCGAGTGCCGCACGTGCGCCCGTCTGGAAAGTCGTACGAAAACGACACGGGGCCGTAGTCAAGCCTGAAGATGGAAGGTGTGCACACCACAGGTGTGTGTGTGTGTGTGTTTGTGTGTGTGTGTGTGTTTGTGTGTGTGTGTGTGTGGCGTGCGTGTGTGTGTGTGTGTGTGTGTGTGTGTGTGTGTGTGTGTGTGGAGGGGGCAGCCGGTACAAGAGGTACATGTGTTCGTGCATGCAAACAGCGCTTGGCGACCATGCAGAATCCAAGGCACAACGCACCCCCAGTACTCTGAGGCCCCATCATCTGTCAGGCTGATGTCGACGATGGGAAGAAACTGCGGGCTGTTCGTTTCAAACTCAAACATCGTGGTCAGCCGCTGCAGTGACGGGCAACGACGGCGACGATGAATGATGAATGAATGAATGAATGAATGAATGAATGAATGAATGAATGAATGAATGAATGAATGAATGAATGAATGAATGAATGAATATGAGTGAGTGAATGAATGAGTGAATGAATGATACCAGCAGCATGCAGGTACAGAAATGAGCACAACGAGAATTAATGACGGCGAAGAAACTCCCGCAACAAACACATCAACACACTGCGTCTCACACTACACGCACGTACATACACACTTACGCACACACACGCACACATACACACATACACAAATAACACTCCTTACAGAGCTTCCGCTGTTGAGCGAGCAGTCGTCGAGGGGCACCTGCGGCGCCGGAAACACAGAGCTGTACGGCTTCCAGATGAGCCTGGCAGGAGTGGTAAGAGTGGCAGAAGCGGGTGGTGCATGGCGATGAGTGCATTGGCATGATGATGCAGTTGTGAACAAACAGAACATGGATCGTGAGCGGACACACCACGGATCAATAAGATACGGGGACACTGCAGTGGGTGCAGACACACAACAGCCACCACCACCACAAGGGAAGCCAGGAGGAGACGCACGAGTCATCTGTGTCCTGGAAGGCGCGAAACCAAGCAGCAAAGTTGGGATCGATGGACCCACCGGGAGTTTTCCAGATCACAACGCCCTGCCAGTGTGATGGTGGTGATGGCCAACACAGACGGCAGCCACACATGGTGAGATCAGGTACACGAGGGCACAAATCACCGAACAAAGCAGGGAAACGTGACGTGCACGCGCGTACGTGTGTCTGTGTCTACATGTCTGCACATGCATGCGTGTGTGTGTTTTTTAGCAGACTCACTCTGCACGAGAACGTGGCGGTCTGTCGGGCGGACGTTGAGTGCTGGATCAATGCATTCAATTGATCATCGGCAATTTCATACGTGAAGCGCGACCCGCCAAACGACGGAGACGCAAACCTGTTGTGCGTTGTGTGCACAAATGTGCATGTGTGTTGTGCATTTGTAGATGTTGAAAGAGGGCGGAACTTTGAAGTGACAGCACGCACGCACGCACGTACGCATGTACGCATCACCACCAACAGCGGCCGAATGTGGGCAGGCATGGGAGTGCGTGTCAGGCCGCCATTTACGCACCATGCGCGCTCCTCTGGCACGCTGCCATCTCGGTAATCCATGAACGTCACATTGGCAGCGGGTGCAATTACGGTTTCCCCTCCAGCAGTCACTGCTCACATAGACAGAAGGGTTCGGGTTGAGAGTGACGTGGCATGATTATGTGCCATGTCAATGTGGAATATGCTTGACACGATTCACTTGTGTGTGTGTGGGGGGGGGTGTGGGTGTGTGTGTGTGTGTGTGTGTGTGTGCTGGACGTACTGTTGCAAAAGGCTTGAAACGCATCCGCGATGGATCCGCCGTTGGGATCGATCCAATATGGACCTGCCGCACATGCATGCCCGTCGATCATGAGACCCGAGGACATGAGTTAGCGTTCTGTACTAGTGCACACACACACACACACACATTTGTGCGCAAACGTACATACACACACACACAGCATGTGCACAGCATGTACACCTGCACACACACCGTCAGGGAGCATCTCGGGCGAGCGCTCAAACGCAATGTGCGAACAAGTGCGGCCTGGCCGTGACGCGGAGCCAATGCCTGGTTCGAGCGACCACCAAGGGAGATGAGTCGGAACACCACCGCACTACACACGATGGTCATGCGACAAAGCAAAACGCCGCTCAAGTTGTTCTCACCCAGGAAACACACACACGCACACACACACACACACACGCACACACACACACACACACACACACACACACACACACACACACACACACACACACACACACACACACACAC